CTTAACAGCAACCCAGTAGACCCAACATACGAATGCCTCACTTGGTCAGGAGCGTGGTGCCTGGGGCCCAGGGGAGCTTCGACTCCGAGAGGATGGCTACCTGGTCTTTGGAGGCAGCGTTGGCCTAAAGGGTTTAGGGTTTAGGGACGATAGTCCCCCTTGAGTAGATGGAATGTGGGGTTATATTGGGATAATGGAAAAGAAAATGGAAGCTACTATTTGGGGTTTAGGGTTTGGGGTATATAGTACCCCTTAAGTAGATAGAATATGGGGTATATAGGGACCTCATTTTGATATACCCAAAGCCATATGCTATCTACTTAAGGGGGACTATACTGTCTCCTTGCACTGGCAGTTGCCAAGTGTAGATGCTCCAAAGCTGGAATCCTTCAGGCCTCACGAAGAGACCCCAGGTTGGAAAGCTTCAAAATCCATTCTGCAGGTCTAGAAAGGCAGGAATAGCTATTGCTGTTGTTCCCGCTCAAAACTTTGTCTTCCAACCACTCTCGAAATGTGCAGCGCTAGCTACTCGTGCCAGCCCAGATGCTTCGGCTCAGCTTCCCACAGCTCAGCGTTAGCCTTGCAGGCGATGCTGTCGACAAAGGTCCTGGCGACATTCGTGTAGTGAAGACCCTGCTATCCCTGAAGCAGCGCTACTGGTCCAGAGTCCCTAGGGCGGCACGAGCTTTTTGTTCGCAACTGCAATGACAAAAGCTTACTTCCGCCCTGCAACATTTCGATGATGGTGGCGCAGCACTGGACTCACTTGTTAGTTAGGACCCCAACATTGACCCCCAAAGGCAACCCTAATTTTTGGAAACCCCCGCTCACATAAGTGCTGTTTCATACCTAGGTGTTCATCGTCCTGGGTAATCGGGACATATGCAGCTTGGCCTGTCTTTCAGAAGGTCAAGTGGTAGTTTCCAACATTATCCAGTCGCCCTAAGCTGCACGCTCAATGCGAGGCCCTTACCTCAGATGTTTGAGCAACAGAAGCGCAATTCCCTCCAAAAGTTGGACTTGGACATAGAGGGTCCAAGGAATGCCTGCATCCCTCCACTGGAAGCACTTTACAGCTTACAGCAGCCTGAAGAATCTCACATGGCTGGTGCGAATTTTGCGAATTTCAGTGGTTTCAGGCTCCCCTAAAGAGAGCAAGATTCCCAGACAACCACCCAACGCCCGTAGAGAGACTCCAAGGCAAGCTGCGCTTTTTTGCAGAGCTGGCTCCCGGCGAGGATGGCGCAAGCTTCGAGGCAAAGGGCGGCGCCCCTCTGCTGCAGCTTTCAGGGTTCAAGGTTCCTTATGCTGTCTGTAAGGACTAAGCAAAATTTTTGTGTGTTACGTACCCTAGCCAGCCCTAGCTCGTGGCATAGTTTATTCTTATGGGCATCCGGAGGGTTGGGGCTGGGAGGGAACCGAGTTTTGAGTTAGAGGGGGTGTGAAGACGTCAGGGGTTACCGTGGTAAACGGTGAAGTAAATCATTATGGTGGTTGGAGGGCTCGGGTTGTTCCCTGGGTAAGTCAGATTGGTATCGGGCAGCTTCTCACTTCTCAAGCCAAATACAGGGAACATCAACAGGTCATGCACTTGTGACATTCTGAGTCTGTCTTGCTTACTCATGAAGGGATTTCGTTCTGTTTTATAAATCTCGGGCCATGATTGATAAACCCTGCTGGTATGCCACTAAGGCCTACTGGATTCCGAAGCCAGCGCCTTTCCCAGACTACGAGGACTATGTGCAAGAGAGTCCTGGCAATCTTCCTTCTCAGCACCAGAGAGTCATAACATGTCATAACACTAACCTTGTTCTTTATGTCCTCCTGGGAAACCATCTCAACGCCCTGCTCCTGCTTGTGGACACGGCAGGGATGTCAGATTGCTCGTTTCGTGCTTCAGCTTTCAAGCTTGGCGCTCTGGGCACAAGGTATGAGCTTGCTTCTTTTCCTCTTGCTCTTGAGTTTGTTTGAGTCAGGTCTTTGTGGCCTGTATCCAAGGCTTGCTGCTCTTGCATGGCCTTTGAAACCAATAGGTTTGCGGTCTGGCAATGCGACCTGCTTTGAAGATGATTTGCAATGCATGTCGCGCACCATTCTTCTACGGGCTCTATAGGGGTTGGAGTCTTTCATGAAGTGCCCACGCGTCCTACTGCAAGGGTACCTCTTCAACCCGCCTGTATGGTCTTCTGTCTTCTGCGCCGAGGAACGGTTTGCAGCGTGGTCACGTGAGCACTGTCCGATGGATATTGGATTGCAACATGGGATGCGCTGAGCTCGGCAAATGTTGCAGATTTTGTGTGATTTTGGTAAGGGGACAAGGTTATCGATTTGGAACGCGGACCAGTGGCTGTCCAGACGGTTTCCAGGGTTTGCATTCCCTGGTTGCTATGATTTCTATGGTTTCCATGGTTTCATTGGTTTCCATGGGTTGCGTGGTTTCATTGGTTCCAATGGTTTCTAATCTCCTCTCCATATTAATAAAACCCACCTAATACTAAACAATAAATCCGGGACCCTAACAATTCCTCATGAGCATTTAAAAAGGGGCTGTACTAATTTTAAAAGGAGCAGGACCATAATGAATTAGGGGGGGTTTTGAGGTCATTAGGGGGGTATAATAGAAAATCCAAAGGAATTAGGGATCCCCTTGACATCCTAG